TGGGAAGGTTTCTCTTCACTAGTTGTGCCTTGGCCAGAACGGGCGAGTAAGTACTGAGCTCGAACACATATAGTTGCTGTCTAATCTCAAGACAAACTCGAACTTTATTTCCTTTCTGCCTTCGTCCATCATGCTCTCAGGGGAATACTGATCCAACTCTAAGAACTTTTGGGCATATTCTGATACAGTCATATCACCCTATATCAAGTGTGCAAACTCCATTTCCTTCAAATATTGGAGATGTTCTAGGAGGTACTCTACATTGAAAGCCACCAAGAATTATTCCCAAGTGACTGGAACGGGCAGGGTGGCTTGCCTCTCCCACCAGCATATAGGTGGTGAGTATGACTCTCTATTCGGGAATCACCCCAAGAGTCGTGAAGGCCTTCTCTATCTCAGTTAACCAGTACTTCGCCTCTTCAAGGGATGATGCCCTTGCAAAAGTAGATGGATTTACTCTTTTATACCTCTCAATATAGACTGGGTCCATTATGGGAGGAACTGGGTCCCGTGGAAGAGAGACGGGATTGGTGGGGATGGACTGGATGGCCCTGTGGTGGTATTGGATGATATGGTGGAGGCACCAGATTGTACTGTGGTGGTGTCAGGTGATGCAGTTGAAGCACTGGACTATACTGTGGTGGTGCTGATTGATGCAGTTGGGGCACCGAGCCATACTGTGGTAGTGTCGGATGGTACTATGAAGGAGTAGGGTCGTATTAAGATGGCTTAAGATCCTCCTACTGTAAGGGTGGCTCAAATTATGGCAGCGGGGAAGGGCCAGGTAGCTCCCTCCTTTCCTCCTGAGCCTGTTGGGCAGTGATGAGTCTCTCCAGCATTTCAAATAGTCGGTCAACATCCTCTCGAAGTGAACCCTCCTGGACTGCTCGATTTAATAGGAGTCTTCCTCTCCTCATCTATATGTACCTGTATTTCACAAAGAATAGTTGAGTCATAATTCATTATTTTTGGTGTTTTCTAAGGTTTTTGTGTAATGAATGGTTCTGAGGAACGCGGCTATGATACTAACTATAACGACTTGGAACTTAAAAGGAAATAAATTCTAAATTGAATGCGGAAGCGAAATAATAGAGTTAGGGCTTACATTCCTTACACAATAATTTAGAATACCCAATAAGGCTACAGGAATTACCCTTCTAAAAGAGTAAGCAAAAAATCAAGAAATAAATGTAAAGTAAGCAATTAGATGTCCTAGGACGACCTTCACTAGCCTTTGAAGGGAGTTCGGGTGGTGAACTATTCACAACCCCCTTATTGATCGGAATTTGGATCTTAATCCTCTTGATCTGAAATGATTAATGAAACGGTGAGCTACACTAGCACAGTAAGAATATCACACTACTCACCGATACAGAAATAAAGGTTGGTAAAAATCATAAAAACAACTAATTGAGATCTTAATTTAAGTAAATTTATTTATCATAAATAAAATTATTTATTGCATACATACTGTAGCGATATTTTCAAAACTGACATATAGAGATAATAGTTCAACAATATCATAATCTCATATTCAAGTAAGAATAACATTTTTTTTTCTTTTTATCTATCTACTAGTATCTATGAGGGTCCATAGGGATGTCTTCACTACGCGTGAACTATTATTCAACATTGTCAACTAACTGGCCATCCTCATACCCCGTCCGGTATGAGCGCCAAAAATATCATCTCTCAATACCTCGTCCAGTATGAGGGTAAAACAAGCCGTCCCCATACCCCGTCTGGTATAAGCACCAAAAATATCATCCCTCAATACCTCATCCGATACGGGAGTGAAACAGACCGTCTCCATACACCGTCCGATATAAGCGCCAAAATACCAATCTTCGATACCCCGTCTAGCATGAGGCGACGTTCACGATAGGGTTTCCTATGTATCTGGTCTGTCCATCATCTCCTAGGATATTCAGTAAGGCTATCATTCATTCATTCACTTAATCAAGCAATTCCCGTTTACATTTAATTTTTAGTTTCATAATTTAACTGTAAATCACGCAAGACAAGCAATACATGCATCAAGAAAACACAATTGAATCATCTTACCAATTTCAGTGTATTATTATTCATTTAAAACTGTAAGATCAAACAGTCAATTAAAATATGACAAACATTAATAAATAACCGATTTTGGCTCCATTAGTAATTTGTAATTAATTATCGATGTTTTTAAATTACGCAAAATACTGTATTATTTATAATTAGACTTCAATTTCATAATAAAAAATAAGGTGAGGGATTCTTATCCGAATCGGTGTTCGAAATATTAAACTTTCAGCTGCGCCTACTGGCGGTCCCCAGGTTCCCTGAATTTTCTTTTGAAGATTAAAACACGCTTCAAGTACTTAGAAATACCCCAAAAAACCTAAAATCGATGTTAAAAACCTTTGTTTGTCAATTTTAAAATTCTATCATGGTGGCACCGCCATGCTCCGACGATGGCACCGTCGCCCACAGCGGCGGTTTGCCTTGGACTAGCCATTTTTAGCCAGTTTTGGCCGATTTCAACTGATTTTATATTCATCCCTGCGAAAAAAGTCAAAAAATAAAAACTTACCAACGGCTCCACCGACTCACCTTCGCGGTTGGGCATTTTTCTTCGGTCAACCTGTAGAAAATAAAATGGTGAATATGATGGTGGAAAAATCACACTAAACGGAAATCAGGAATGGGCTCATCGGAGACGATTTTTAGTTTTTTTCCATGGTGGCACCACCGGGCTTTACCTACTGTTTTCGACTCATTTGCTGGTTCTTTTGCTCTGATTTGACCACTGGGGTGTTCAAAATCAAATTTCGAGCGAATAAGAGAATTTTTACCTTTTTTGGCTATCAGAGGTGGCTTCGGCACAGCAACAGACGGCGGTCGGCTCCCTTCTCCGGCGACTGGTTTTTCTTCTCTAGCGGGGAGTTGGCACTAGGGTTAGGGTTCAGTGTGAAGTGAGATATTTATACCCGTCTCTCTTAAATCTGGATCGTTCATTACGTTTGATCTGCTCCATCTGATCGCGTTTAAAGAGGAAATGAATCTAAACTGTTCATTGCAATTTGATCTGGAACATACGATCACATTTAAAGAATGAACGAATTTGGAACGTTCATCACGTTTAATCGTGACCATCCAATCACACCTGAGGAGGAAATGAATTTGGACCGTCTACGCGCGCAAGAACATATCCCGGCCGTTCGATCACGGGCACGCGAATTGCCAGCGTGGACTCCCGCGTGGCACCGAGTCAGCGTGCCCTGCCACGCGGCGTGCTACGGTTCATTGAGGCTACTAACTAGGCAGTCTTATGTGGCGCATTTTTTTAAATTATATTTTAACCTCTAGTTTTCGATTTTTTTTTCAAAAATACCTCCCAAACCCAAATTTTCACCCTTTTTTTCTAAAATTATTTTTAATTTCATTCTTCACCTATTTTTTTTCTAATTTTACATTAAATAAAAATTTATAGAATTAAAAATTATATTTTTATATATTTTTTTATTTTAAAATTAACCTCGAGCTAAATTTTGGGAGGAGGTACTACAACATTAGTGCCATATAACCACTAACATAGCATTAACTTAATAGAAAATAACGTTTGTTAAATGGAGTATTTTTTTATGTTAAGTGTACATCTAATTTCCCTTTTTTTAACAGAATAATTATTAAGTATAAAGAGAATTACTGTGTAGAAAACTTTGATTTTATTTTTTGTTTTTATTTTACATAAAAATATATGTATTTTTTCCTTTGAACAAAATATAATTTAAATTATCTTCTAACTGAGTAGATTTACTTTTAATAAAAAAATTTAATTAAATAATAACTGAACTTTTCAATCAAATTTTAATTTGAATAAAATTCTTAATTAGATAATATAATTTTGAATTAAAAACAAATAGGTGATAATTGATCATTATTTGTTATTTCTTTATTTTGATAATGTCAAAAGTTTTAGGAAATAATTATATATTAAAACATAACTTAAAAAATAATAAAATAATTCAAATGTCGTGTAATGTGCCCGACTTTATGTGCTCTGGCGTGCCATGGATGTGACTAATAGTTATGATAGTAATATTTATTATTATTTTATATATATAATACTTTTTAGTAGTCTTTAAGGGATAATATGAATAATTAGTGAAGCATCATAATTAAATGTATGGATGCAAGTATTGAGCTTGAATTTAATTAGGAAGCAACAAATGAGTGCTGTTGAAATTTAGGTTTTCTTTTAATGTTACATTTATATCAGATATTTCTTTTTAATTTTATTCAGTTAATCGTGCAAATTAAAAATATTTTAAGCAACATTACTTTTGTTTGATGATTAAGAAAAATAAAAATATTTAAAACTGAAGATTCTTACCCACATTTCAATTTCAAAATTAATATTTTCCTGTTATTAGTTTAAAACTGTCAATTTCTCTTGTGTTCATAAGCCAAGGCTTTAACATAAGAAAATCCACCAACATATTTTACTGGACATAAATTTTATTTATTTTTTTTTTTTGAAGGATCTGTCGAATAGTAAAATATCAGAATTAGTTGAATCAATCCTAGCCAGCTTACTAATAGGATGTCCTAATGCAATTACAAAACTTTGCTTTTAGCCAATGATCCAATTATTGAAATAATTAAAATTTTTATGTAGAATTTCTTTATAGCGTTATGTGTTTAATGCAATTCAAATATAAAATTAGTTAAAAAAAAACCCAAGTTGAATATTTTTAATACAAATAAATTATTTTAAAGATTAACCCACCTGCCATTAGTTTTTCTAACACTAACCCACCTGAATCTTAAATCCACCAACAGGTTCAGGACTCTGACCAAACTGAGGACCTTAAAAGATATGCATGGCCCCCTGTGACCCTGTCTATTCTACTCCACATATCCAAACAAATAATGAATGAATAGTCCTAAAATCTTATCTGCTTTTGCAATTTATATATATATATATATATGCGGAATGAAAAATACCAGCCGTATCACCTTGATATTTTCCTCTCATAAACCTATCAAAACCACTAGATGCCCTAACATTCAACAAAAAGTAACATGTTATTTTCAGTTACATTATCAGCTACAAACATTAACAGTTAAAGACAAATGAACCACCGCCTAACAAAATATGAGCATAAAACAACAACAACATCACCATCAGCGGCAGCAACAAGCCGAATTTTTTTTTGTTTTTCTGGTCTGTACAACAAACAAAGGATTGTATCATATCACGATCTGGTTAATCCCATGGTTTACCTTTCAGGAAACACTGATGATGCTATTGCTGTCTCCACGGTTAAAACTTGACATCACCTGAAATGCTGAATGCCTTGTTGTTGTCAATGATTCCCTCTCGTTGGATAGCAAAGACAGGTTGAGTGACAATGGCAATGGATCCACCTCCCCTGCACTCAATTTCAAATTCAAGCTAAGATCAGATATCATTGACGCCCGAGGAGCCACTGGTATCGGACGAATGAGCTTTGTTGATCGGTTATTTGCAGCTCGATTGACTTGTCCTAGCGTTAGATTTTCCATTGGATTCTCAATTGGGATTGGCAATGCTGCAGCATTGATGGTCATAGGAAAAGCTGGCATCAAGTGAAACCCACCAACATTATTGGTTTCTGGTTGGGCAGGAGATGGCACTGAATGGGTTTGAGATGAGCTGTTCTGGTAATGGCTTTGTTCTTCCTCCATAGGAGTTGCAGCAACCTGATACAAGAAAGAGGAAGCTTAGTTTCTGCTTTTCATTGTCAACACAAGGGATATCAAACTAATCTGTTCATGGAAGTGCTACCATGTTTCTAAAGCTGCTCCACCTTCATAATTTTATACCTTTGGATTAAGTAAAAAAGGATCACAGCCATTAAAAATAAATTAATAATTTATATTTCAGAATTTATTTCATCTTACAGTGAAGCCAGATGAAATAAGTTTCCCTAAGTTCATCAACATGACCTAAACTTCTTAACTGAGAATTTATTGCCTCTTCCCTATGAAGCACCCTAGAATTTCTATGTTCATCAATGTGATCTAAATTTATTAACTGAGAATTTCTTGCCTCTTGCCTCCAAAGCACCCTAGAATTTCCCAATGTTCATCAACAAGACCTAAATATTATCTGCATCCAATGCCGGGGGAAGGGGAGTGATCATCTATTGCCAACTATTTGCATATCACATCAACTCTCAGTTAAGAAATGAAAGTTACTGCTTGAATTTCACCCAAAAAGAATATCTGCCCTCTATCTTCCTTTCTTTTTAAGTCAACAACAAAACAGAGTCTCAGCGTGGTTTTGTTAAGCTCCATTTAAAAGCTGAGAAAAGCAAACTAAGACTCCTGAATTTAGACTCAATAATACGCATATAAGGTTGCTCCAAAAAAAAAAAGAAAGAAACACGCGTATGAGATGTCTATAAACGTTTATCAGTTTCTTCTGGTTCTCAAAGCAACCAAACGAAGTTGATAGAAGGTTACCGTCTCGGTAGTGATATCGAAGAGGCTAGATCTGCGGCGTCGGCGATTAAGATTGCTTCGCCGGAGAAAGTATTTCTGAGCATGGCTCGCCACTTGCGTTGGAGTTCGAGTTTTGACGAAATTTCTTGAGATTCCTCGCCAATCGCCTTTCCCCACTTTCTGCAATCCTAGCAGGAAGAGCTTGTGTTCTTCCTCCGTCCATGGAATCCCTGATTTTCGATCCGCAAATTTGAAACAAATTAACCATAATTTTCCTAACAATCAAATGGTTCACGAAATTTTGGTAGTAAAAACAAAGGAAATGCTTTCATTTCCCCCCAATAATGAACACAATGGATCAAAGATCAAGTTCTCACTGGAAAATCTATTGCCATAATCAAACAGAAAAACATCAACCATCAATATAAGGGTATCACTCAATACAATAATCCAAAAACCTCAGAGTGAACAACACCGAAACAAGCAGACAGAAAACACAACGAGAGATCTAAAAAATACCTCGCTTGCGTTCGCGATTTCCACCGGAAGAGTTGGGAACAGCATCATCAGCAGAGGCGTAACCAGGAGTCGCATCCTCTTTGGTAACGTCGCTGCTGTTGCTGTTATTATTACTGCCATTATTCTTCAAGAGCTCTTGAGGCTGCTCGTACTGAGAGAGATTGTTCATACTGACGCTCTTCCTCATGGAATCAACCAAAACTCTCACTCCAAACAGCATGATCTCTCCGCCTCCCGATGTCTCCAGAGAGGGGGTGGTTCCATCGGCGGTGGTGGCGCACGTGCCAGCCATTGCTCTGGTTCTCTCTGTTTTTCCAGAAGGAATCTGGAGAGAGAAGATGAATATATTGTATTTGATGGTTTGATGAATGGGAGTTTGGTGCGATTTATAAGAGAGAACCAATTAGCCGCAAAGTTTGGTTACTGGTGCGTTTGCTGCTACGTGGCAACATGTAATTCGTTTATCTGTTATTTGTTTATTATCCTTTGTACGATGTAACAATCTCACCCTTTTTATATTTTTTTAATAAAAAAACTATTTATTTAATTGTTTTTTAAGATTTTCTAGTATTTAAGGAAGCAAGTAAATGTATTAAAACTTATAGAACCAATTGGTATATTTACTATTTTAAGATTTGAAAATTAAATGATAAAATATTTTTATTACAGATTTAAATTTTAATTTTTAAAAATAAATAATTTAAAAAGATACAGTATGAATATTAAAATATATTAGTTTCTTTAATTTAAAATAAATAACACAAGAAGGGCATATATTAAGTAAAAGTTATTTATATAAAATATAAAATAAAATGTAAACTATAAGTACTTTAACTTTGAACATTGTAAATAATCTTAAAAATTAATTAAAATGCAATATACTACAGCTTTCTTGTGTTACGACTTGATCCTATTTTTTCTTTTTCTATATAAAAAAAATTATCTCTAGATGAATTAAAAGAGTATATATAAACAAATTTTTTTAACAAAAATAAAATTTTTCATATTTAAATTTTGGGGATGTGAGACAAACAACTTTAAATTTACAGAATAATTATTTTTGAAAAATATTTTCATTAAAAATATATATTTTTAAGAGTATTTCCATAACTCGTAATGCTTTTTAAAGAAAACCTTGACCTTGTAAATTGCACCAAACATAGTTTGACTTGGTTAATTGTAGACCAATCATTTACTTGGTCAAATCAAATTGGGAACATTAAAATATTAAAAATAAAGAGCGGATGCATGTGACAAAAGTTGTTTAAGTAGATTAGCTAATTAAATTTTTTATAATTTAAAATTATGATTTTATTTATTAATTTTTTTATATTGTGCAAAGTTGTTGAAATTATAATTTTTTTAGCGTAATTCTTTTTCTTATGAATTAATAATGCTAGTATCATTATTATATATTTTTTATTTTTAAATGTCATCAGTAAAATAAATTTTAATATGGTAAATAATTATTTTACATAAATCTATAAAACTTACTTCTTATTATTTACTTGCTCATTTTTTTATTGTTTATTATTAAATATTCTTGTTGTTTAAGTTTTCATCAATACGTTTTTATACTTGTCCCCTATTTGATTCTAGTTGTTTAATTTTTTTATCAATTTAATTTTTTGAAATAATTAATTATAATTAATTATTTATTAAAATATAAAACTAAAATTTTTAGTGAATAACTTGCTTTTTTTAGGAACAAAAGAGTGTGAACACACATATAAGCTTGATAAATTTTATACAGTATTATGTTAATCTTTATAAATTAATAATATATCTCTTGTACGAAGTCATAATTTATGAGACTCATAAAAATTTTTTAAAATTATATCACAATAATATATCTAGATCTACTTTACAATAAACATCTAAAATAGCTAAAAGATTCATCAGAGTTTTCTTTTGATTTTGAACTCACTCCTGACCTGCACTAATCTGTACTGAGGGGTATGAATTGAGGTGAAATTCATGAATTCAATAAAAATAAAGTAATATTTAAAACAGAGATATACAAACACACATTCATATAAGTTTCATAAAACCAATGCAAATTTTATCAAATAAATCCAATTCTGAACAATAATCATAACTATAATCCTTTTTTCCTTTTACTGAAAAAGATCTCTATTCATTTCTCTTACTAGCAATTGTAACAGCCCAAAAATTTAATTGAAAGATATTATTGAATTAATAAGATATTAGTGGAAGCAATTAAGAATTTATGGTTTATATTTCTTATACAATTTAATCAGAATGTTTAATAGGGTTACCAGAATATCTCTTGAAGAAAAATTAAAGTAACAAAAAAAAATTCAATTAGAAACCTATAAGGTCAACCTCAACAACGCAACTAGTAGGAAACGGGAGGGGATTCGAGCTCGCTTGAGGGGTTTTGAGTCGCAGGTGTGGCGGTTAGGCCGAGCTTCGCCCTCAATTTCCGGCTTCCCATTTGGTTTTTCGGCATCGATATGGGTTTGGGGAGACAAATTTTGAATCGAAATAGGAAAAAAAAAAAAAACTCACCTTCTGGCGTCAGCAACGACTTTGGTGCGGCGATGACAGTGGCCAGCTTTTTTTTCGGTTGCCCTTCTTCTTCTTCTCTTGTGGGATGGTTGCAGCTAGGGTTACGGTTTCTATGGAATAGGAGTTTAAATACTCATCTTCATTAAATCCGGGTCGTCCGTTCGAGGAGACGTGGTTTATTCTCAACTGTTGGATCAATCTTATCTGGGGAATGAATCTGGACTGCACGATCGGAAATAATTAGGACCGTTCAATCGCGCCTGAAGGAGAAACGAATATGGGCCATCTGTGCGTGTAGGAGTTGATTTGGGT